AAACTGGTGCAGCCACTCTGGAAAACAGTATGGTGGTTCCTCAAAAAAGTTAAAAACAGAACTACCCTACCTAAGATCCAGCAATCACACTACTGGGTTTTTACCAAAAGAATACAAAAACATGAATGCAAAGGGATATGCACCCCTATGTTTACTGTAGCAATAAACAATAACTTATAATAGCCAAAATATGGAAGCAGCGCAAGTGTCCATCGATTGATGAATAGGTAAAGAAGATGTGGTATACACACACACACAAACACACACACACAGGAATATTATACAGCCATAAAAAGAATGAAATCTTGCCCTTTGCAACAAAATGGATGGAGCTAGAGAGTATAATGCTAAGCAAAATAAGTCAGACAGAGAAAAACAAATACCATATGATTTCACTCATATGTGGAATTTAAGAAACAAAACAAATGAGCAAAGGGAAAAAATGGACAGTGACCAAGAAACAGACTCTTTAACTATAGAGAACAAATTGATGGTTATCAGAAGGGAGGTGGGTAGCGGGGTAGCTGAAATAGGTAATGGGGATTAAGGAGTGCACTTGTCATCATGAGCACTGGATGACATTGGTGCCACTGACATTGGTATGCAAATACATGATGCTTTAATAAAATTTTAGCTTTTAGTTTTTATAAGCATAATTAAATAATCAATTTAATCAGATCATAATGGGGAAAAAATGAATCCCCATATACCCTTCAAGTGGTGAGTTCTAAGGACTGTATCAAAGACAGAAAATGAAAGGAATTCAAAATCATGTGTAAACATTATCATAGAGCCATGAAGACAGAATTAGTAAAATCCTATCAATCCTCACACTAATGCCCAGCCATTAATTATATATTTCTCTCAGATCCATGGTGTCCTAGAAACAACACTTTTTTCAAGTCTGCAAAAAAGGAAAGCTGAGAGCATTCTTGAATTGGTGTTTAAAATTCTGTGTTGAGGCTTAGTTCTTTTTCTTCTCAGTTCTGAATCTGATATGCTTAGCTCTATTATTTATAATCGTCCCCTTCCCCCAAAATGGTCCCTGCACCCTTCCCAAGACATTTTAAAGTGGTTTACAACAAAACCTCCGTCTCAATCATTCTTCTGGCTCCACCAGTGTGGCCGTGCCCTGGTTACGCAGAGTCTAACACAAACCGTATGATTAGGCTCTATCTAGACTAGGATTGCAAAGGTGGACCCTCAAAGAGCTCTTTAGAGCAGAGGGATATACAAACACTTATTCTCCATGAATGTAAAAGACCAAAAGGACTTATCAAAGGTCCAAACTAGGAACCAGTGTGCAAAAGGGTGATTAAAGCTTACCAGTAGTGGAGGAGATACAGGGAGTTATTTAGTCTTTGAATATTTAATAGGATTTGTTTAAATATTTTATTTATTTATTTATTTATTTATTTATTTATTTATTTATTTATTTATTTACTGAGAGAGCGAGTGAGTGCGGGGAGGGGCAGAGGAAGAAGGAGAGAGAGAATCTCCAGCAGACTCCATGCTGAGTGTGAAGCCCGATGCGGGGCTTAATCCCATGACCCTGATGATCATGACCTGAGCCAAAATCAAGAGTTGGATGCTCAACTGACTGAGCCACCCACGTGCCTGAGAATATTTAATAAGATTTTAAGTAGAGTGCCCTGAATGCTCTGCAAACATGTCTGGATTTTTTTCTATAAGCTGTGGGGAGCCATTAAAGATAAATAAGCAGGACTGTTTGAGGGAACAGCTCTGGCAGTAGGACAGTTGAAGTCCAGATGAAAAGCAGAGGGAAGAGTTAAGGGTTTCATCAGGAGATCTACAGTCTTGGCATTCATAGCAACATCTGCATCACCTGGGAGTTTGTTAGAAATACCATACAGTATTTCAGGCTCCATCTCAGACTTACTAGCCTACAATCTCTTGTTTTAATGAATTCTCTACTGTAAGAAGCAGTACTCTAATTGACAATGTTGCATATGCCCAGCTTGGCAAGGCTGGCTCTCAAAGAGTTGGGACTGGCCCAAAGCTTTGTGTGAGAAGAAAACAAAACCTGAAGTTGATATACTAATCAGGGCTAAACTCTGGAAGTGGAGGATTATTTAAAGATTCAAGGCCCTCAAGCATACATGAAATACAAGAACTTGTTCAGAAATGAAAGGGCCACAAAACTGAGCAGGCAGGACCAGGTTTTGTCTGGAGTTATTAGAGTATCTGGAGGGATTCCAGAATGCAACTGAGGAAGAAAAGGAACCTTCTATGAAACAGCTGCCAGGGACGCTGTGAGCGAGGGGTGGGTCCAGATGGGGGTGGAAAGTGAGGGTTTAGGAGAACTTACATGCACAGGATGCTTGGGAACTTGGGAACAGAAAGCAGGCAACTTCAGAGTCATAATGGAGAAATGATTTACAAGTTTGAGTGACAGATTTTATGTACAGAGTGAGAAAGAGGGAGATGCTAAAGGTAACACTTATGTTTCCAACTTGCGGGACTGCAGGAAGATAATATCAACTACATGTGAAGTTAAATGCCTCTAGGATATTTTGTTTAGGAAGTGCACACAGTTTGCACCATGTTAACTTTACACGGAGAACCTTTAAGAATGAGTAAAAACATCTAAGGTTTACTGATCACTTTCTAATACAAAACACACTTTCCAAAGTTTAAAATGCCTGTTATGAACCTCATAAGTAGGCTCCATTATTACCCCATGAAGTAAGTTCTATTATTATTCCCATTTCACAGATGAGGAAACTGAGGCATGTAAAGGTTATCAGACAAAAGTTAGTGTCAAAGCCAAGATTTGGATCTGGTTAGTGATGTTATAGCCCGTCATCATCATTACTATGCTGAGATATACTCCTACCCTCCCCACACCTTTGTCCTGTGGCCTAACCTACAGGGCATTTCTAAGTTCAAACAGGTGCCCGATTTTTATTTACTAAACCAAAAAAAAAAAAAAAAAAGTGTTACCAAGATTTTCAGTTCTTTGGAATCTAGTATATCTCTAAATGCCAGGAATTATTTTTATGAATTGAAAAGCATTAAAGCAAAATACTTCTTAGAAATAATAAATTAACTTTACAAATTGGAATAGAGCCAATTCCTGATTATCTGTGTTAGTGACAGTGTTAGCAGGGGCATGGAAATCCTCCAATATTCCACAAACTTGACTCTGATCAGCCAGATGATTGATCTCTTACTACCCTCTAATCTAGATCCCAGGCATTTTCAAAGGTAGCCTACATGAAAAAAGGAAAACATGAAGTGATATAAAGAAACAAAGGTTAGGATAATAAAAATACTGTGTAATTACAAGGCATAGTGCTTGGAACTAGCCTTCTTGAGTTCATATCCACTTGTTAGCCACGTATCCATAAGCAAATCACCTACTGTCTGTGCATCAGTTTCCCCATCTATAAACTGGGGTCATAATAGTACATACTTCAAATATTGTTGGATGCAATATAATGACATAATTCATGATGAGCACATTGTAAACAGAGAATGATGCAATAATCATCAGATCAGTAATCAAACCAGTATATAAAAATTAAACTGAAAATGGCGATTCATCTTTTATGAACTATCCGCCAGACTACAGCCTGTCTCTGTCTCCATCTCGCTCAGTTGTGGGTTGAAAGACAAAGCCCAGGTTGGCAGGAAAAATCTCTTTTTAGTATTCTTTAAATAAGCTCCAGAGGGCTTTTTTCCCTGGCCACTACTGTTTACTCTGGCACTCAAAGTCAGCAGCAAGAACTACTAGCAACCCACCCCCAAAATCACATGGATATCAATACAATAAAAACCTTCCAAGATTCCATATCCTGCCTATGCCGCAAATCCAGAAACATCCATTGACCTCCTTTTTGCCTGACTGATGACAATGCAGATATTTCAGGCTGCAGTTCCCTGCTCACTGCAGTCTGTCTGAGGTTGTTTTGCCCCTAGACTATTTTTGCTCATATGGTTGCTCTCAGCCGCAGACATTCAAATAGAAACCAGAGAGATCCAAATACTTGGGAGGAACCTATAAACAAATGCAGGAAGAAGCATCCAGTCTGACCATGGCGCCCATAGAAGTTTCTGTAGACAGAATATAAGGGGCTGGATTCCCAACACCTACTACTTGAGAACTTGCCTAAATCTTTCCAGAAACTTAGCTGCTTAAGGGGTGCTTGGGTGGCTCAGTTAGTTGAGCGTCCGACTCTTGATTTCGGCTCAGGTCATGATCTCAGGGTCTTGAGATGGAGCCCCACATGGGGCTCTGCACTAAGGGTAGAGTCTGCTTGAGATTCTCTCTCTCCCTCTCCCTTTGCCCCCTCTCCAACTGGTGTTCTTGCTCTCTCTTTAAAATAAATAAAAATCTTAAAAGAAAAGAAACTTAGCTACTTCACAGAGATGGAAGGATGGAAAGAGATAGGAGCAGGTTGGGAAAAGCTTATTCAGCGTGTGTGTGTGTGTGTGTGTGTGTGTGTGTCTAAAATACTTCCCTTTTGGGAGCCCAGAAGAACTGAGGATAGCTGGATACTTGCCATTTTGTGCTTAGAGAAAAAATACAAATTGGGCCATATTTATTTATTTTTTAAATTAAAAGTCAAATAAAAATAGGTCCCTGGGTTCCGAAACTTAGAGAAAAACATCCAGCCAAGTTAAGGTATGTTTTAATTAAGAAAAGAAAATGTTTATAATAGATTCTAAACACGGTATGAGCAGTATCTATTTGGGGATCAACAAGTAACCCCAAACCCAAATTATAAATATCCAAACACCATTAACCACTAAAGGAATCTAATTCTGTAGAACCCTGAAATGTAGTATTCTACCTTGTATGGGGCCTTCCAAATTTCTATTCTTTCTCTCAGAGGGTTCTTTCTCTTCTCCTCCACACACCATCCTGATTGACTCACCATCCACAAAGAAATTGATGCAAAATAAGAAAAGGAGAAAATCCAAACCACAAGTCTGCTCTGGCAAAGTCCTCTGATTGGAGGATAAATTCAACTTACCAGCAGTTTCATTCAACACAATCCTGGGTCACATTAACTAATCGACATGTTGTCACTTTTGAAAGATTTCCAGCCATAAATCCCCAATGCTTGAATGCTGGAGAGAAAGAAAACGATGTTATCTGAAGCCCTTAATGAGAACATTGAGCCACTGGCTCTAACTACATAAAAATCGGCAAACAAAAATATCCTAATCCAAAACAATAAGAAAACTAGAAGGAATTCTAACTTTCACAAGTGACCAAATTTTTAAATGTATATCTATTAAATACATCTTCTAAGACTACCTAGAAAATGACATGCAGCCTGCCAAACAAAATCAGCTTATAGAACATTTTCACCTTTTCGCCTTCCAGCAAATTGCTTGTTTTCCCATCCAAACAATAACCTTATTGTTTATACTGAAGTACAGTACATGACTAGTCATGTTAGGAAGTGAATGAATTGTTGTCCTGTCAACAGAGTTTTTTTCCCACATACCTATTATATCTAGGAATTCCTTCCGAGGTTAGAAACATTGAAGAAAATACATACTGCTTTCATCTGCTTTCATTATCCTGAGTTCCACTGACATATAGACTAGGGTTGCCTAGCAATGTGAAATTAGTAGTAGTTGTAGTATTTTTATAGGTTTCTGAGTAAATACTGTTGTACCCTTGTCTAAGTCTGGTGAGAATTTTGGTCCATGATGCTTTCTGTGTTTTATTTAAGCCTAGGTTAAACACATGAATGCTCTGTAAGGGTTCAGTTTACTTACTGGCACAGGAATATATGGAGACATAGTAAGGGCTCAGGATTGAAATGGGATATGTTAAAATCTTTCTTTACCTTCCTTCTCTCATAGCCCCTGGAAACTTAGAAGTCTGTTGGTGAAGAAGAGCTAGCAAATGTCCATCCCTATCTGATCTGGATGACACTCCCTTGTTAAGTAACCCAGCAAAAAGGGAACACAAACCAGATCTTTTCACTGTAAGTCAGAAAAAAAGTTCAGTTCAATAACATATGGAGATGAGACAAAAATTCAGCATTCTGTCAACTGAGACACAAACAGAAAAGCACTCATGTCTTCCTACCCTGTTCAACAGCCATAAAGAAAAAGTCAGACTGTCAGAGAAACTGATGCATGCAGCTGGATGAAATAACTTCCACGTGATATCCATTTCCAGCCTCAGCCAAGGCCATGCCTGCACTAATGAACACCTAAACTTTGCTTTCACATGTTCAACTTAAGTTGCCCATAAAACTTCTACCATATGGACCAACCAGCCTTCAGCACTCACCCTTCATTTTTATTTGCTTTTTATCCTATAGTCCTCCATTTCTTTATTTTTCTTAAACAAGGAAGGGGTGATACAGTATGAAAAATAAAGTTTATCTTTAGTTCCTTGGTGTGCTCAGAATTCTAGGGCTGAATAAAATTTTGCTTGAGATGTCTATATTCACGTATGAATATGTTTTCTCAAAAACTTGCTGATATCTATGTATGAATGATTAATAATGATTCTTTAAGAAAAGTAAAATGTTTCAATCTGATTATTTCCTCTCCTGGGTGTGAGACAGGAATGCATAGAAGCTAAACATTCTTCTCCACCTTACTCTCCCATCCTTCCAACAGGCTAGCCTAGGCATGTTCTCAGGATGAAGGCAGATGTGTACCAGTGGAAGCAGATGCATGCCAGTACAGTTATTTTTCAAGCCTTTGCATATATCCAGTCTACTAACATTTCATTGGCCAAAATTAGTCACATGGCCACAGTCAGAATCAAGAGGCACAGAAATGGACTCCATTACCATGTACATCAAAAGGTGTGGTTACAAGCAAGAGAAAAGAATGGGAGTCATTAATGCAGTGAATCTACAATAGTCATAGATGTACTCACAGTCACTGATAATATAGAGACCCAGAGATTGTGCCAGAGATGAAACTAGAACCCAGGTCTCTCTACTTATGGTTTACTCCTCTTTTTATGACACTCACTGCCATTATTTTATTAAAGAGCAAGGAAATGACTCATAAAGGTATCACATAATCAGTTTCAGTATTATCAAATATAATCTATACTCCCTAAAATAGTACCTAAGAATATTGTATTTATAAAATATATGTGAACCAAACATGGAAAACTTTATCTCCCTGTCTGATGTTTTAGGAGTTAAAATCTTATGCTATTAGATTGCAGGTAAAGCAACTATTAGAAAAAGAGAAACATAGGAGCAGCTGGGTGGTTCAGTTGATTAAGCATCCAACTCTTGATTTCAGCTCAAGTCATGATCTCGGGGTCATGGGATTGAGCCCCACATCAGGGTCCACATTCAGCATGGAATCTGCTTGAGATTCTGTCCTTCTCCCTCTGCTCCTCCTTGCGTGTGCTCTCTCAAATAAATAAATAAAAATATTTAAAAAAAAGAGAAACAAACTATGAAGCCTGGAGATACACTCTATTAAGAGTTACCAGATTTAGCAAATAAAACTACAAGATGCTAGGTTAAATCAGAATTTCATAAATAATGACTGTTTTAGGATAAGTATGTCTTATGCATTTTTTAGAATACACTTATACTAAAAAAATCATTATCTAAAATTCAAATTTAACTAAACATCCACTATTTTATCTAGAAATCTTACATCTAGATTAAAGATATATACAAATCATAACTAACAATGAGTAATATGCATACATATATGTTAATAATTCATTACTAACATTACTGAAGTTTTTTCAGAGGAGAATTACTGTAAGTATTCAGAATAAAGGTACCTTTATAATGAAAATTATTGTCATATTTGGCATATTAATATCTTTTAAAACAACCTTTTCCACAAAATTACATAAATAAGAAAAATATAGTAGGATTTCATATGCCTATATGGCAGTTGATTCCATGATAGGGTTTGAATGCATAGGAATCGAAACTCATCAATGAACAGTAAATTCACTAAGGTTCTAGACCCTTTGCTGTGCCTTTTATGGGCTACAAAAGTGAAAACATGGAGAAGGAACTCTCTGGATTCCACAACCACTGTTGAAAAGCTACCCCAAAATGGATGTAATTAGGAGATATGGATTCAGTGGCCTCAGTAATTTCTTCTCAATGCCTTTCAGTGCTCCACTGGCAAGGAGACATCACTGAGTAGATTCACATCCATGTACTTCTCTCTAGGAACTCCAGACACTATGCCCGTGACCCCAATATCAGAGCCCACTGTTTGTGAAGAAAGGAAGCAAATGGGTAGCTGAGAGAATCCAAAATTGTAAAAAAAAAAAAAAAAAAAAAAAAGTAAAAAGTTAAATAAATGCAAAAGATTTTTGTCATGTGAATCAGTATATGACATGAAGAGTTAGTTAATAACTGTCTGGTTCTATCAATAGCTGTCAGTGGGAAGGAATTAAAAAAAAAAAACCCAACAACATAAAACTTCCTCCTAAATCTGGCCAAGCTATCTGTTAAAGCTGGTTCCCATTAAATGTTTGTTAATTTAATTTATAAAAGCCAAAGCCCAATGGCTGCTGTCTGCTATACACAATAGGGGCTGTATGTGTACAGGCTGGCTCCCTGCCAGTATATAGTGTCATACAGACCGGTATCTTGTATGTAAACATTGTTGGAATCTTTAAGAATAAAAAATTTTAAAAAATCTTTATGGCTCCAATAGCCTTATAATGCAAAGTAAATACTGAACTTCCTGTGTTGAGATTGTGGGCCTTATTGGCACATGGATGTGAGCAGGGGTTTGTTTCACCATTTTCATTAGGTCAAAGTTTTTACTTCCGCTAGGGAGAGAGAGGAAGTTCCCTCTAAAGGACAATCAACTCTGTGTTATATGCTTTATTGTCACTGGACCAGAATATTACATTTAATATAACTCCTTATATTATAGAATTCTTGCTTCTAAGTTAAATATTGAATATTTATAACTTATGGACATATAAGTATCTTAAGGATATGTAATTAAGCATTTAATTTTTCTCTGAACTTCCTACCAACCAAGTTGAAATTTTTAAAAAAGAAAGAGAATATTCATTCTCTTTTCCTGGCTTCTATTCAGTCCATAATTATCTCCCACACAGCTTTTCTCCCTTTCCCAACCCACAAACAGTCCGGCAATGAGAGAAGCAAACATTGTTTTTTTCACTCTGCCAATCAGGAAGTCTTTGGTAAGCATCTTCTAAGTGCTCTGCACTGTGCTAGATAGAATGTAGGATAAAGAGCAAGTGTAAGACATGTCCCTGGTCTATAGCAAATTATAGTCCACTAACAACATTCCCACAATGGCTCTGTCTTGGGATTTTTTCATTTAAATCAAAACTTCCTACTGGCCATATGGTGGCCAATAGTCAATGTAGATCCTATTGGATGCCTGTGGTGAGAAACACTGAGATACAGGGTAATCTCATCCATCTTTTTTAACAAAGTATTTATTAAGTGCTCATCATGTCCCACTGCAAACATCAATATATCAATATTTATTTTATCTTGAGTGTGTTTATGTGTGTGTGTGTGTAAGAAAGAAAAAGGGAGAAATTTAACTTAAATAGCTTCACTAGGAACCTTAATAATACTAATCCAAAAGGGTCAGTGTAGCACCCAAATGATCCTTAACTGGATGTCTACTTCACCAAAGGAAGGGGGCAATTAAGGAATTAAAATCAGAGTGGGTCTTTGATACAACATTGAACAAACAACAGGTTAATTGACTGTTGTTGTTGCTACTTGTTTTGCTCAGTTTTGTTTTCCAGTGTTAACTGGTTGCCATGATATTCTGTGGATGTCATTTAATTCCCAGTCCAGCACGTCACTTAGGCATGGAGAGAATGTGGTTTGTTGATGAAAAACTTATCTGTGTGCAATACTCATATGAACTTCATTCCTATTAAGATGCTTTATTTAGCCAATGAATTGGAATTAAAAAAAAATTCCTTTGTGCTAAAATCATCCTATATCTCATTTTAAAACCAACCCAAATATCTTAGAACCAAAGAGAAGCATTCAATCAGCACTTTGTCAAACTCTAGAATGTTGATTTATTAAAACTAACATGTTTTTACTTTGTTTTCTTATACATACCTCTTAGTTTTATCCAGCCAAGTACTTTTC